GCACCACCGCCTCCTGCCCTGAGCACAGCTGTGGCCCATCTCCCCCCACTCCCCCACCACATGCCAGGAGAAGCCTGGCACAGCCCTGGTCCGAGCTTGCAGCAGTAGCCCAGCTTGCCCACACCCTGTGCAGATCCTGGGGTATCCCCCCCACCCCCCTGTGCCCTCCCAGGATGCATGCAGCGGTGGGGGCTGCCTGCCGGTCTTTGCGCCCCTGGTTGAGCCATGACTCCATCCCATGCCCTGCCCTGCCCCGGTGGGGAAGTGCCTGTCCCCAGTCCCACTTCTGCCTCACCGCGAGGGCCTTGATCTGCCCCCCCACCACACTCCTTCCCTTTTGCCTCCCCTTCCAACACAACAGATTTACCAGCTGCACACAGCTCTTCAAGCTGCCGGGCTACATATTGGAAATGGGATCAGTATTGGTTGGTGTGCCTCCTTAAAAATCAGCTTTTGGTGTAGGCCCCCAAAAGCTCTATTGGTGCACCCCTAGTTTTTACCATAGGGAAAAATTTATGACATATACTACATTGGAAGAATAATAAAGTTACTGGTTTTCAGGGATCAGAGCCACATGTAATTGCTATTTGTGCACTTCATAAAGTGGTCGTGGAGTAGGATTAAGCTTGACCTCAGAAGGGGTATGTTGTTTAGTGTTTTGTCACAGGGCATCTAGTATATGTATAATATAGCTGAATCGTATAGAGGGGTGCACAAGATGATTCACTGGGGTGCGGGAAGAAAATATTAGAACTTCTATTTATATTTATATAAATATACATATATTGGGGGTGTGTGCTCAAATTTTTTACTGATAGGGGTGTGCGATCAAAAAAGTTTGGAGACCACTAGTATAGAGCTCTAGACATCAAGAAGAGAAGAGTATATTAACCTTAGGGTGGCCAATCTGTGGCACTTATGCCACAAGTAGTATGTGCAGGCTCTGTGTGTGGCACATGACAGATCACAGAGCACCGTGGCAGACTGGGCAGAAAGCAGAGTAGCAGATTGGGCAGAAAAAGGGGGTCAGAGTGGCACTCAGGGAGGGTGTGGAGCTAATTTGTGACCCACCTGCCAAAATGGTTGTCCCCCTCTGTATTAATCAATCCAACTTTCTTATTATAGGTTGTTACGGCGTTCCTTCTCATGAAATCCACGATGGATGGCTGTGCTCTCGATGCAAAAAAGGAGCCTGGACAGCTGTAAGTTGCTCAATTTATATAGTTATCCTACTCACTGCAGGCTACCAAAGCAAGCACACAAGTTATTATATGTGGAATGCAGCCTGTAGGGCTGGGTTCTGTTGAATATACTGCTTATTGCTGAGGAAAGACTTAATTCATTTAGCAATATGATTAGCTTAAAATTTTAAATTTCATTTCATTTTGAGAGAGATAAATTTGAAAGTGTTTTGCATACTTAAGGAACTTGTTAGCAAGTAGAATACTGTATGTGTAATATCCTTGGAAATAATTAAAGAAAAAAAAAAAAGAATTCACATTTGATTAAAAAAACAAACAAAAAAATGACATTTCATCTTAATATTTTAGTCTGATTATATGAATGGGGAGAAAAGGAAGGGAAAAGTAAAATGACATTTATTATCAGGTGTGAAATTGTTCTTATGAAACATATAGGAATTTACAGCCATGAATTACCTTTAAAGGTTAATGGATGATTATCAAAGATTTTACTTCCAAAGCCATATATACCTGTTGTATGATTAAAAACAAACAAATAAAAAACATCAAACTAATGGCTAAATATTGTTGGAAATAAATAAATGGTAGATGATAAAGTGTAAAAACAATATTTTTGTTTAAGACCATAGGAGAGATGAGGACTTTTGTGGGCGATATCTTTTACTGGACCTTCTGAATAGTCAGAAGGGACATGGACAAGCTATCAGATACCACTGTACCCATCTGAGGAAAGGTATGGTGGTACCTGGAAGCTTGTCTGTGTCCCTACAAACAATACAGTTAATCCAATAAAAGATATCACACACAGAAATGCTTGCCTCTTAAATTTTTTCTAGACTACTGTATCACCCAAACCTACCACAGTTTCCCTCAGGGGGTCAAAATGGACCTCAACAACTTGATTAGCTAGTACTAACCTGAAAAGTAAGATTCATAATGTGCCTATATTATCCATGTATCCTGTGTAGCAACCATTTCATAACCTCTGATTATATTTTTCATTTTACCTGATGAAAAATGTAATATTCACTCTTAAAAGCCAGCACATTCCAGTGATGATTGTTGCAACTGAAATACTGCAGTTCTTCTTTCATGACATGAAATGGTTATAGGAACTCTTTCACCTTTGTATGGTGTGGGTAAATACTGAATTTTTAATGGAAATTACTCTCCAATTAGGAAATGACCATTTAGTTTTATATTTACTTTTAGCACAGCTGGAATTTAATTTTAGCCAGCCTCCTTCCTCCTGGGCTTCCTCAACAAACTGCTTTTACATTTTGTAGCAGCAGTGTTTGCTAAGAAATCATTTCCTCATCCAGTTAAGAAACACAAGTAGTATGTAACAGACTTCATTAGTTCACATGTACTTCTGACTTAATGTAGCACATTTGTCTGATATTAATTTCACAAAACACTTGCATTAATTTAATGGACAAGATGCTTGGGTTGTAGAGCTTCCTACTAGTCGTGAATGGTACTTGTCAACCAAATACAGGGAGATTTAGGCACTCAAAATTAAAGACCAGATTTTCCAAACTGTCTGTCTAAATTGTGCTTAGAAAATATTTGCACGTACATCAAATTAATAACTACAAACACAAAATAAATAAAAAGACATATTATTTGCTTTTTGCATTTTCAGTAGGGCTCTATGATGTAGATGGTGCAAACTAAGCATGAGTTTTCTGAGTTTAGATAGGGACCCACCTAAAAATGGCAATAAACAGCACCCTTGGGATGTGGCCATGCCTAAGTCTGACATTTACCTTATTCTGTCATAATGCTTAAGTATCGCCCAATCTTTTCAGCTGAATCCAGGGCTGTCCCTAGTGGGGGATGAATCGGGGTGACCGCCCCAGGCCCTGTGCTTTGGGGGACCCCGCGGTCAGTGCAGTTTAGCCACCACACTCTGCTGCTGCCAAGCACTGCCGCTCGCCATTCCCCTCTGCCCCCCGGGGCCCACCCAGGTTGATATGCCCCAGGCCCCGCATACCCCTACGGACAGCTCTAGCTGAAATCAGATGAAAAGAGAAATTATCCTACCATCTGTATTTGAGAACCTGATTCCCTCACTCCATGCAGTTATGGTTGTTGTGGCTAGTTGTGATATTATGGTTCTGTGTTCTTATGAATAAATTCTTTGGAAGAAGTCTTGCTGCAGTTCTCAAAAAACAGATTTCTTTTTTTGGTTGTGATGTGTGATGCTTAGGCTTTATCCAAAATATAGAAACTGGACTCTGTAAGGCAAGTGGCCACCAGGATAGTTATCCTGTATCCATCTTCCTTTAAGGAAATTTTAAAAATCCTGATTTTGCTACTTCAGAAGCTTTGAAGAAGATGCAAGGGTCTTCTCTTCTGTAAAACACAATATTATTACTGTATGGCCTTTTTCTTACAGTTTTAAATCACTTCAGGATCCCCAAAACAAGAGGTAATATTAGCAAATTTTAAGAGTAAAAATGTAAACAATTATGAGTTTCTTTGTGTCTGCTGGAAAGTAAAGGAGATGAGAGGGACAGGACTGTGTGGTGTGCATATTAACTAAACTGGGGGAGAACAAGAAGAGACAGATTTACAACTGGTCATTACAAAAGTACAGTCCCATTTATAAATGTGTAGTCCAATGTTGCTTAGTGAATAGCTATTAAAATATGAACTGAATCAATTTCTAACTCGGTAATGTGTTTTCATTTTAGCAGGCCAGGCATTCTTACTAGGCAAAATTCAATTTTTCTCTTTCACTGGTCACCAGAAAAGCTTGTTAATGACTCCTTATCAGGCAATCAGGAGCTTCAGGACTTCTGGAACTGCTTTTGTAACTATTCTTCCAGAGTCATGGGTGGGTGGTTGGTCTGAGGGCGTGTCCCCATGCCGTGAACAAGGTAGCCAAGCTTTGGTCCCTGATTCGATTCAGCGGAAATTTGGCCTGATTCGGTGGCCAAATT